GTGTTAGAGCTTGGATTGCAGCAGGACCAGCGTTATCTAGTTGCAAATCAATCTACAGTTGCAAATCTTCTACTAGGAAACTTGCAGCTGTAGATATAGTTAAGGTAATGGTATCAGAGGGTCAAGGTCAGGCATACTTTGAGTGTTCCAGACTCTATGTAGCTTTTTATAAAATTTCTGAAAGTAGTTTGGCCATCACTACCATCACTGGGAGATTTGGAGATAAAAATGCAGATTTGAGGATTTCTGTTACAATCACTTTAATTAGAATCTCTGTAGGTGGGGCCAAGGACTCTGTATATCTTACACTAGTGTGATCTTAGGCAAGTTCTAAAATCTCTCCACCTCAGTTTTCCCATCTGTAAAATGGAAGTTTGGTATCTACTTCATAGTATTTTTATTGAATTTAAATGAGTTAATTGGTGTTGTTGTTAAATGTCGTCAAGTCGGTTCGGACCCATAGCGACCCTGTACAGGGTTTCCGAGGGTGTAAATCTTTACCGGTATAGAAAGCCTCATCTTTCTCCTGCGGAGCGGCTGGTAGTTTCGAACCGTTGACCTTAAGGTTCACAGCCCAATTCATAACCATTACGCTACCAGAGCTCCTTAAATGAGTTAATACATAAAAAAAAAAAAAATTATGATTGTGACCAGCACATACTAGGCATTTCAATAATTACAGTTATTGTGAAGTGCTGTCGAGTCAATGCCGACTCACAGCGATCTTGTATATGGTTTCCAAGGAGAAGTTGGTGAGTTTGAACCACTGACCTTGTGTGTGAGGATTAGTCATCCAGAGCTCATCCTACAGCTCCATCTCCTACTGGCTGACTATTATTAACCTCAGTATCAATATGATTGTTCTAACTTAAGTTTGAAACCACTACCTTTCTGAATAAAGCTCTTCTCTAACATAGGGTGTCAGCTAGGTTAGTTTGTACATGGCCACTCCAGGTGACCCCAAATAGACTATCTTTCATTCATATGTTGGGATTGACTCTGTCAAACAAGTAATAAGTAGCAAAATCAAACTGTGACTCTTTCTGAACTGCTTTTCCACAACACCCTTCTGCCAGCACTGGAAATAAATGGAAACTGCAGGGTATATATGTATATAAGTCATTATTATAATTATTTAAACTATGAATAATGAATTATTAATAATAAGGGATTTAAAAATATAACTATTACTGTTATGAAGTCCTGGGGTAGTGCTGTAGGATAAGCATTGGACTTCAAGGTTAGTTTGACTTGCAAGGTCGGCAGTTCAAACCAACTAGCCACTCCTCAGAGGCCCTATACAGGGTTGCTCTGAGTCGGAATTCACTTGATGATACATAACAATAGTCATCATGGTTAACTATCAATGACTAGCAACAGTAGCTTTAGCTGTACTTTATAGAATAAGAATGGTTCTCTGCTACCTAAATATCTGGTGACCTTTAGAGCTGACTGGCAAGTCAACAGTTCTAAAATGTACAAGGAACTACCCACATCCTAGTACAGGATAAGCACTGGACTGCTAACCACAAGGCTGATGGTTCAAATCCACCAGTAGCTCCATGGAAATCCTATACAGGGTAGCTCTGAGTAGGAACTGACTCAACAGAACTTAACAACAACAACAGAATATAATATGATGCACTTAGGCGCTGGTTTTCAGGGTAAGTTTTAATGGAATAGTATACACACAGATACACAAGCTCAAGCTCAAGGAGACCTCAGTTCTAGTTTGATGATCTCTGACAAACCACATAACCTCTGTAAGAGTATGTCTCTATCTGTAAAATGGAGATAGAAAGTTCTGTCTTATCCAGTCCCATACAGTCGTTGCAAAGATCATTGAGAAAATATTCCCAAATAGCTCTCTGAAAACCATGGTACACCACACAGGGACGCTATTTCTAATCTCACGCAATTATCAATTTCCTGCTTTTAGAACTGACGTCCTTACATTTCAAGAAATCATAGTAAGACAGGATGATTCTCTTAAAGCACAAAAAACATTCTGAGTCCTGGCTGTCCTTTTGAAATGGATGCTGATGTCAGCTCAGTCAAGAAATTATTAACTTCCATTTGGTTACTTAAAATAAACTGTACTGGCTGATTAAACGTGCTGATCATTTTCTCCAAGTAACAGTGCCTATCACCAAGAAACCCTTCTCTTTCGTCTATACACTGCAAACAGCAAGTGCATCACTCACAACTCTTTAAAATCAATAATAAAAATCATTTCAATGTATATAAACAAGTTAATGGAGTAAGTGAAAACAAAGCAAATTTCTTAATGAGAGGGCCCTGTTGCCCCCTCTAGGTGTCGACAGTAAATGCTGGTTTCTGAGCCTCTCCCGTAGAGGAGACTCGCTGCTGCTATACAGCTAATGAATGACTAACTTAGGCCAGGGGGGAAATGACATCACCGCGGTGGAAAACCGATCTGCATTGGGAAACTTTCTACCTGCTTTACATTTGTCATAATTATTTTGCACAATGCAGCCTTCATTTGCATAATTTTGAGGCGTGTCATTATCTCAATTGAAAATTGTTTTAATATGGCTGAATAATTCACAATGACATCAGCCAAAGTCCTAATGAAATATACAAGTATAATCATACAGCTAATTACCAGCCGTTAGCATTAAAAAACAAATCATGCATAATATTAGACGATGTATATGCAGCTGAGGATTATAAATAGAGCCATCTCCCTCCACAAACCCCCTAGAGTTTACTTTTAAATGGCAAGATTAATTTCTCAGGTATGGCTCATATAGCAGCGATGAAATGCGCCTATCACTACAATGGTTCGCTTTCAATTCCCCATAATGAACAATTAAAAAGAAATCGTGTATTTAAAAATATATCTATCCACTACTAACAGTTCTAGCAGATGTAACCTTCAGCTACTATAGCTTTTATTATTAAGTCAGAATTCACTATTTAATTACAGCACCAGAAAATTAAAACTGAATCAAGTGAGGTCAACTCGGGGTCTTAAAACAATATTCCAATTTCAGTTTCAAAAAAAAAAGTGACCACAAAATATCCCATAAAACACTGAATAATTTCCTTCTGGGTTTAGTCAGAAGTCCATTAGGCACCAGCTTTTTTTTTTTTTTTTGGATATTTAATCCTTCCCTTTTCCAGATCACAGGCCATGTTGAAGTAATAAATTTGAAAAGCAAATAATAAGAAATCAGGAAGGGGGAGGGGAAGGAAGACAGCTGCGCAGGAAAGTTGGGTCGGGGGAGGGGGCCAAGCAAGACCTTGGGAGGGGGAGAGAGCTCAACCTGTTGGTAGGTTGCAGGATTTTTCAGTCTTTCCAAACAACACCTTTGTAAAATTTCAGGCGGATGACGGGAAATAGGAACGTTTAAAACCCAAAGCTGAACACAGAGGACGGGCGGG